GGTTAACTGAAAAGTCTAAGTAAATTATGGGGGCTCTAAGTGACGTAATTTAATATCTAATAAACGAAAGTGGTAATTTTCAGTTAGCCTGATAAATATTTATGTGCGTTTTTAAATTTAAAAATTTTGTATAACTAACGACATTTTTACTTTTGTTTATAAATACTTGTTGCAAAATAAAATCATTACATTTGCCTTGATGAAGTCCATTAGGGGACTAAACGCGGCGTATAAGATAAGTTTCCCTTTTGTTTATATTCATATTATGCTTTAAAGATTTTAGTTAGACTTGGAATATACATATATAAAAAAATGAGAAAAAAGTAAGTACGTATATTGGTTTCACAACCACAACATTATCACGACGTCTTACACTTCATTTGTCAGATATAAGTTCTATTGCGCAACATCTAAAACACATCGCTGTCCACAATACAGGAAAATACTTGTTGATAACACCAATGTACTACACTACGAAAGTAATAAACAAAAATTTCAATATCTCGAGAACATTTATATCAAAATCAACCAACAACACTCAACAAAATTTGTCACAAATATAACAAAAAAATTTATTAAAACACATATAATATATGATACCAGTTTACATTTCTAGCAATTTCCGGTCATCTCCCTTATATTGAAATGTTTGTTTTGCAAAAAATTCCATAACTAGAACGGAAACATTTGAAATTATTTTTTAAATTACTGAGCACCGGTTTTTAAAAATCAAAATCACAACGGAATGCAGATTATATGGTATGAGTTTGTTTTTGTAATTTACCACTGAAAATAATCTCGGAAAAGATCGAAAGTACTTGGGTTAACAAAGACGACGTCTCCTTCCTTGATGGATTTCATCTAAACATCAAGAAACTGATTAGACAACTGGAAAAGATCAGTATAAAAATAAGTAGACACAATATGTCTATATTATTCAATGAAACATGTTTGAATATATATATATATATATATATATATATATATATATATATATATATATATAATTATTTAGTTAAAAATTATAACATAAATATGTTATAAAAAACACTACTAAAAATAACCATTTCGTTTCAACACCTCCGTAGTCTTACTAAGTGATGATGCTATAGATAGATAATATTAGAGGTCAATATATATATATATATATATATATATATATATATATATATATATATATATATATATATATATTTCCAAAGGACAGAATCCAGGTAGAGCTCAATATCCAGGACAGAGCAAGAATATAATATAACAGACTCAAACACTAATATTCTTTTTGAATTTGTAGGTCTGATTAATTGGATTGTGATTACGATCTCAATAATATATATATATATATATATATATATATATATATATATATAGAGAGAGAGAGAGAGGGGGGGATAGATAGATAGATAGATGGTTCAACCTGGTTAATACTGTTAAGTATATGCATAACGAGATATAACGAGTTTTGGGGGATGACTGGATGGAAACGGGCCTGATTCATAATTAAATGAAAAAATATTAACCAACATTGAAAGCTTAAAAGAATTTTTAAAAAATAAAAATGGAAGTAACTAAAACAATGAACTCGTTAGGAAGGAAAATCAATGAAATTGGTTGCATTTCAGTCATAGACCTTGAAAAAGTCAGAAGACAAACAACCGTAGCCAAATGCGTATGGAATTGACATTCTTCATGCAAATAAATATGTCTGCGTGTTTGTGTGTGTGAGATTCCAATCGACCATTTTTAAAATGGGATTACATACCACTTCTACATACACATGCATGAGGAACGACCTGTCCTTACACCTCCTATTTAATTGCACAGATAAAGGCCACACCATAGCACCATTGGATAAAACAAGTGTTAGCTATGCATTTTCAAAGTACTGATCTCGCGAATATTGGTGCTGTCGGATGAAAAAAAAAATTAAAGCTAGCCTCGTTCTTGGCCTAACATCCATAAGGGTGACTAATATTGCTGCCACATGTGGTCCGGTGCTCCTGCTGTTTAGAGATTCTTGATAAAATCCAAAGGAGTATCAGCAATGTTATCGGTCCTGACCTGGCATCTTAGGTTCAGTCACTTTCCCACCACGGTAAAGTTGCTCCGCTATGCCTTTCTATAAATAATTTCATGATAATTGTTCAGATGAACTCTCTTCAATATGGTCCCAGGACTTTCTGAATTTAAGCGCACTTTCTCACACTCCTCGCTTGTGGAACTCTCTTCCAGCTCCATGTTTTCTGGCCAACTTTGATCTTCAAAAATTTAAATGCAATGTCAATCGTTATCTAATCGCTTTGTAATTACTCTTCTATTGTTCTCGCTACTTCATAAAGTTTTCTGTTTTCTAATTCTTTCACATTCAATAACTCCTAGTGTCTTGGTGGCTTTTCTACCTTGCTTGCTATATAGTGGGTTAAAGCGTTGGTTCGTGAATATGACGACATAATAATTGTGAGTTCAATCCCTGGATCGAGTAGTGTGTACTTGGACTCAGTGGAAATAGGGTGAGCAATAACTGAGCAGTATTAAAAATAAAAGCTAAACTGGATTTCCCTAGACATGAGCAGTGGTAGATTAAATAAAAGGTTCAGAATTTCCTGTAGGTTACCCGGATCGATATACACCTGATGAAGGCCACAGTGCGCAACAATCGAAACGTTATGATAACAACAACAAAGATAAGGAAAACAGTCTGCGTGTAAATAATGATAACTCCTCACTCCAGAAATTAAACATTTTTTGGTTAAGTACACAATGAAAAGTTATTTTATAAACGATTTAATTTGTGTTTAAATATTCTCAAAATTATTATTTTAATAGCATGTCTCTTCTGGACATATATGATCATGGCTCCCCACAGCTTCCTTTAATATTTTTGGATTCCCATAACTTATTGACATATATTGAAGATAATGGAATGATTTTTGGAACTCTTTTCTTTCTCTTAGACTGAGTAACACCCATAGCTAGAGAACCCTGTTATTTAACCCATAGTTGAGAAGGGAAAAGATAGGTTCATGCTTTTCTCGGGGCCATTTGCGCGAAAGTAAATCGATCCCGGAATTAGAACCCGTATCGACGATTACACTTTCTGCACCTATGTTTCGTTGCCCGCATGTCTAATTTGAAAAGAATTCTTCTTCTTTGTGTTGCGCCACTTCCGGGCGTGAGCGATCATGGCTCTCCATACCTTCCTGTCCTTTGCAGCTCTTAGCAAACTTTGTCTTTGTGCTGTCTCTCCTAATCCCTGTTCTGCCACCCATTTTGCACAAGTTCCATCCCCCTTGCTTTCAATATATGTCCTGTGTGTGTCCGATTTTCCAAGCCCTCTTTCCTCATTACGTGCCCTAGAAATTTCAACTGATTCTTTTTTAAATTAAGTATTAAGCGTCCTTTTTATTTCCATGTTCAGTTCATGGTATTCTCAGCATCGTTCTGTAGAACCAAAATATCTGTTGTCTCAAGCTGTTTCTCCATCTGTGACGTGATGCTCCAGCATTTATAGGACGACCGATACAGTGTAACCCGGATATAAGAGACCCGGATATAAGAGAAACCCGGATATAAGAGAAACCCGGATATAAGAGAGATTTTCTCTGTCCCCAAATTAGAGCCTGTGTTAATGTATATAAAATAGACCAAACCCGGATATAAGAGAAACCCGGATATAAGAGACTTCTTCTCCGGTCCCGACAAATCTCCAACTCTCTTATATCCGGGTTACATCTGAAAAGAATAGGACATTTAAAAAGAAACGAAAAGAGAGAAAAAAAGAACGTCTTTACTCGTGATAATCCATTAAGGGTTTAATTTAAACTAATTTAAAACCTGGAAATTCATAAAACAAGAACAAGTTTATGAACAGTCTTGTTCATTGAAGTATTTCTCTTTTTTTTCTTTTTATTGAAAATTTCACATTTCTCTTATTTACTGCGCTAATGTAATGGGCCGGATATGACAATGAAAGCCTTTGATTCGGATTATACCTGGTCATGAATTTCCGCCACTTGTCAAAACGCCACCGCCTCCCGCATCCTCCACTTACCAGATAACAAGCGCCGGATAAAGGCTTCTTTTAAAAAAAATAAAAAGAAGACCAAGAAGAAACCATGAACCGTCTTTAGGGTTTGAAATTAACCTGACATGTTATTTTTTGCCCCGTAAAACATACATAACTTGACACTTAACAAAACAACTTTGACTTTTTATAATGTTGATTACATTTTGTTTTTGGACGTACTTACTTACACCCGCAATTTTTACTGATGCTAGACTGACTGCAAAGAAAAGGGGATTAACCTGAACTCCGATTTTTATTTTATTTATATTTTTGTTCAATAACAAGCGACAAATCTGGATTTTTTTTTATTGATCGATTCTTTTTTTACGGTACAATGTAACTCGGTTATAAGAGACCCGGATATAAGAGAAACCCGGATATAAGAGAGATTTTCTCTGGTCCCAAATTAGAGCCCATACTTACCTAAACAAAATAGACCAAACCCGGATATAAGAGAAACCCGGATATAAGAGACTTCTCTGGTCTCGACAACTCTCTTACATCCGGGTTACACTGTATATCCACCTACTGCAGGCTATTTAAAACCAGAAAAGATTATAACTGTAAAAATATTTCTTTTAGATAATAATGATTTAGTCATGCAAATATTACTAATTAACCCATAGCTTGGGGATAAGAGTTGGATTCATACTTTCCCAAAGGGTATTTGCTCGTAAGTGAATATAACGAACCCAACTGGAATTGGAACTCTGCTCTCCGATTAGCAATTCCGAGCCATTATCCACTACACCACTCGCACATCCAAGATATAATTAGCTAGAGAACCCTGTTATTTAACCCATAGTTGAGAAGGGAAAAAATAGGTTCATGCTTTTCTCGGGGCCATTTGCGCGAAAGTAAATCGATCCCGGAATTAGAACCCGTATCGACGATTACACTTTCTGCACTTATGTTTCGTTGCCCGCTGGTATGATGCTGGTATTCCCAAGCGGCTACCCATCTAAGTACTGACCAGGCTTGATGTTGCTTAACTTCGGTGATTGTATGGAAACAGGTGTTTCAACGTGATGCGATCGCAAGTCTGATTTTTTATTTTATCTTAGTGAGATTGTAATTATGTTGAATAGGATCGATACACTGACGGATTTGTTACGGCTTATCAACCCTTTGCAGGTTATTTAAAGCTGAAGCATATTTTGGATTGTAAGAATAATACTTTTTTTTCAAGCGATTTTGCATTAATATTTTTTTTTTGTTGATAACAATGATTTTTCCAGGTACACATCCTACTATTTAACCCTTAACTGGGAGAGAAGATATAGATTCATAGCTTTCTCAAGGTTATATACGTCCCTGTATAAGTCGAGTTGATTTTGTTGGTATATCAGAAAATGAATTCGATGTTATTTGTTGAAAGATTCATACCTTTCCTAAGGGTATTTGCGCGTAAGGAAATATGAAAAACCCGACTGGAATTCGAACACGAGTCTCCGATTTCTCATTCCAAGCCGAATTGATGAACGAAGTTTACTCTGACAGATAACCACTATAGTTCTGGAGGTGTCTGATTGGTCAACAGTTGAGTGGCGATAGAGTTCGATTTGAAAGGTCAAGTCAAATATGTAAGTGGCACACAGTCGCCGTCGTCATCATAATTAGTTGCCACAACCGCGTGCAATCATCGGCTCTTGCGTAGCTCAGTCCCTAATCTATTCTCTTCACATATATGGGTTCATACCTAACGTATCCTGGGCAAAAAGACCCAGCGGTGACCATTCTTCTCTAGTTCAAACCACAGTCTCAACTTGGCCATGGACAAAAGACCGTTGATTTCATCGGGAGAAACCCCTACCCTGGCCGTTGACTTCTGATTAGGAAGCACTCTCCATCACTGACGCCAATCATCACACTGGTTGCATACATAGCTATGGATCTCTGTCTACCTGTTGTGACCAAGTAATTGGTTAAGGAATAACAAAACAAGAGGTTGCAGATAAATAGTGTATTGAACAATAAATACAACAGAAATGTGTTACACGACTTGGGAGTGTCTGTCGGTTGACCAGTGTTCAGTCTATACCGCCATTAATATATAACAGCCCCCACTCCCAACGAGAGATATATGTGGCAAAAGGATGAGTTTAACGTTGGTCATCCGAGCCCGTAGGCTCGGCAAAAAATCTCCGTAGAACGCACATAAACGGGTTTGGGTCTGTCTACCTCCCCTGACGAAACTCTGCCCTTCGGCACAGCCTAAGGCAGAGAGTTCGAGAAAAGTTGCGAACAGACACAGCCTCGGAAGAACAGTCTATATCACCGTTATATTTAACGCCCCCCCCCCACGTGGTTCGTATGTAGCACAAGGCCGGTTTAGCGTAGGATTTCTGAACCTGTAGGCTTGGCCAAAAATATTCCCTTCGAACCCGTGTAAACGGGTTCAGGGCCTGTCTAAATGGACAAAATCTTGCCCTTCGGCAAAGCCTTATCCGGGTTCCTCTCCGCCGAGGCGGAGAGTTCGCCAGTAATGAACGGTCGATATCACCGTTCCCCGCGAGGCTTAATTTTCCTACTACTTTATAGTAAGTAGAAGAGTCCATAATAGACTCATTAGAAGGAAAACACTACAACACTAACCCCATTCTGATAGATAATAGATCGTGTCTGTAAAAAAACATGAAGGCAATAATGAATTTCTCTCCTGGTTATTAGCATCATCATTAGGGAGGTATAAAAGGTGCTCTGCGGTTATAATAGTTTTGTTTTTGGAATCGTTGATATTTACAAACCGTTACTTGCTTGATTTAACCACTGATTGGGGGTCCTTTCCAGAGCAGTTGCCAGGTTTGCTGTGTCGGTTCTGTTGCACTTGCTACTAAAACAGGAGTAAATAGTTGTGTCATCTGCATAAATGCCTAACTGCGAACTGCTTAAATCGGGAAGGCCGTTGTTGAAGATCAGAAGCAGCGTAGGTCCTAGGATAGAGATATGAGGTGAAACCCCGCATTAGTATGAAATGATCTAGAAGCGTGTGTCCGTTCAAAATTACACGATTTGTTAGGAACAATTGGATTAAGCCAAACATTCGTCCCGTGACCCTGGTCAGTAAGCAGATGGGTGACCGCTTTGGAATACCAAGGTGCTGTTAGTTTGGATATGGGGTTAACGGAAAACGGCTTAGAAAATGGAGAGCCGAGTTCCAATTCCAGTCGGGTTCGGAAATTGCTGAGACTCCGCTGTCGTAGAGGAGGATTTGTTATTAAATAACCGTTGTTATTACACATCTGCCGAACTAGCTAGATGCAACCGCCTCTTCTATTCTAACAGATTATTTTCTCGCACTTTTCACCTGTGCAATTCATTTCCGATTTCTTACTTCCCTGCAACCTACAATCTTCAAAACCTTAAATGTAACATCAATCGCCATCCTCTGTCTACCTGAAGCCATTTAAAAAAAACAAAACAAAACAAAAAAAACTATTCATCCCAAGCAAGGCTGGAGTTACAGAAAGCGGGGGCAAGGGTAAAGAGACGTGAGAGAGGAAAGGATAAAGAGAAGGACGGGGAATAGTCCAAGGAATCTGGAGATTGACATTGCATTTGAATAGTTGGAGATTATAGCTATCAGGGAACCGAGTAAGAGGAAGGGAGTTTCACAGACGGGAAGTGCGAGACATGAAGATATTCGAGTAGAAGAGATGGTTATATTTAACCGTTTCCACAGTGAAATGGTAGGACCGAGATGCCGACTTAGTGGCACGTTACAATTCACGCAGTTTGGGAACTAGCGAAAATAGCTCGTCGGAGCAGTTACTGTGAAAATATTTGTAGAAAAGTCATAGAGAGAGGCGACGGCACGTCTGTGAGAGAGAGACTGTAAAAGAGATGCTAGATCAAAGCCAATCACATTGCATATTCGTCTCTGTATTTTGTCGAGGACCCTAACACGAACAGAGGGTGACAGCAATATTCTATGCAAGGGCGAATGGTTGATATCTGTTCTTTTATTGTCTTTTCCTCACTCCTACCCAATAAAATCTTCTCATTCTCTTTTAATCCCTGTAACCCTCTGCGTCCTAGTGGCATTCTTACCTGGCTCGGATGAAACGATTTTAAAAAAATCATACATAAAAAAAAGTCAATAAAAATGACTCTTGCCCTCTCCCACAATATTGAGGCTTTCGGCCGTATCACGTTGAAACACTGGTTCTCGTGCGATCACCGAAGTTAAGCAAAGTCGAGCCTAGTCAATACCTAGATGGGTGACTGTTTATAAATATCAGGTACTGTAAGCTTGGATGTGCGTGTGGTGTAATAGATAACGGCTGGCAATCGGAAATCGGAGAGTCGAGTTCCAATTCCAGTCGGGTTCGTTATATTCACTTACGCGCAGATACCATTTGGGAAAGGTATGAATCCAGATCTTCTGTCACCCCCAGCTATAGAATAATTTTAGGATTTGCGTCAGTAAATCATTATCTTCTCCAAAAACTCCTTACAACATAAAATATTTTCTGGCTTTAAATAAGCTACAAAAGTTTGATAAGCTGTAAAAAATCAATCAATCCTATCCGTTTGAAATGATCGTTGGACCAACTTCTCGAAGATCTTTAATATGTTCATCCTCTTTTAAACTCGACCTATGGTCCACTTGTGCAACCGCTGAGCTGATTTTTCCTTTCTTTGTGTCGGATTAACTATTTTATCTACTAGTCTGGAGGCAATGGTGTATTTGCATTTCAAAATCCCTGAAAAGAATCTTCTAATGTGGATTCATTTGTTTCTGAGCTCGAATCTAAATTGCTGGCTTTAATCCTCGTAAATCACTACTCCCATTGCGTAAATTATGGCTTGTTATTATCGCTTATATAGTTTTACGTTTAAAGTATCCCCTGCGCAGTCATTTCTCGTCTATTTGAATCTTTTGTTGTTGCTGGGTTTGTTTTTTTTTGGGGGGGGGGTGAGGGAAGTTACAATTACCATCAGGAAGTATAGGATTTACGTTTTTCGGGTTTGTGAACCTCCATGATTTCTTCTTTTTTTTTTTTTTTTTTTTGTCAACGCTAGATATTTTTTGAACAACAAACATTTTCTTCTGAGTCATCTTGAATGGTTTGCTCCATTAACCCAAAATATTGTTCTCCTTAATCATTGCTTTTGTCGGATTTTTTTTCACGTTTAAAGTGTCCCCTGCGCAGTCATTTCAAACTTATTTGAATAATTTTGTTTGTTTTTTCTTTTGAGGAGTGGGGTTTATCGGTAGGAAACTATTTAACATTTGTTTGCATTTCTCAACCTCCCATTTTATTGAAGTGTATTTTTCCACAACGTTAAATATTTTTTGACAACAAAAAAAATTCCTTCTCTTATTCATGTTGAGTGGATGACAAAGAATTGCTTGTTAGTACAAATGAATGATTCTGCCCTGATTAAAGAGAGAGAAAAAAAGACAGACAGTGTATCTACTCGAATGACTTACTTAGCTAAAAAGCATACGCTTTATTTTCCCCGGTTCTTTCTTTTTACTTACTTTCTATCACTATCTTTTTCTTTCTTTCTTTCTCTCGTTACTGACAGATGAATTGACTGTCATCTTTGCCAAGCGCCCATGCATGAGGAGCAAGTTTTTTTTTTTCTGTTCGTGTCAATGAAAAGAATTATGGTAAAAAAATTGACTCCATTAAACATGGAAATATTTTTCGTGACGAATTTATCTTTTGACATTAGGTCTTTGCAAAATCTACCAGATGTGAAATTTTGCCGTTTTTCTCTTCACCAATAAAAATAATAGTGATGATAATAATGATGATGATAATACTGATAATGATAAAAATAACAACTATAATGATAATAATAATAAAGATGATATTACTACTACTGCTACTACTAATAATAATAATGTTAATGATACTACTACTACTAATAATAATAATAAGGATAATAATAACTTTATGAGGCCAATAAAATGAAAGCTATCAACACTTTAGCTATACTCCTAGTAACATACAGCTTCAACATTATTGAAGTTGAATGAGATTAAAATATTGGGCGCCAAGACCAAAAAAATGCTTACCCAAGTGAGTATGCAACACCCGAAATCAGATGCTGATAGGCTGTACGTACCAAGAACTTTAGGAGGCCGAGGTCTAATCCAATTTGAACTATAAAAACTACAACAATCGAATTGGAGCATACCTCACAAAAACCAATCAACCTTTCCTACAAATAATAAAACACCAAATCTACTCCAACATCAAAGAAGCAGCACTCTTCAAGAAACAGTTTAATATAACTGAAATCCTACAAACAACAGACAAAGGGAATTTCATCTACGCCAAACGAGTAAAACAGAAAGCAAAACAACTTGGCCAAATGAAATTAAAAAAAAAAACTTGCAGACCGAGGCATTGCAAGGCAAATACCTAAAAAGAAAGAAAGAAGCAGATGTGTGGACCAACAGAAAATATGTCAGTAGCTGAGGAGCAACGGATTGAAAGCTGAAACAGAAGGTCTAATTATTGCAGTTTAGGTCCAAATGCTCGAAACCAGATCCTATCACGGTCACATAATTAACGATGAAACTAACTCCAAATGCAGGATCTACGGAAAATAGAATGAAACTGTCGACCATATTATCTCAGGATATCCGGAACTAACAAAAAATGAATATACCACAGGCATAACAAGGTATCGACATATGTGCACTGGAAGATATGCAAGAAGCACAAAATCGAAACCACTTAGAGATGGTATGACACCAGACACAGTTACCCAAAATAACGATGTAACTATCCTCTGAGGCATGCTACTTCAAACTGACAGGGAAACAGACTTGATATTATTATAAAAGACAAGAAATTCAGGAAGTGTATGCCAATAAGGCAAAGCAGTACCATCTGAGAGAAACACCTTTTATTATCGGAAATTGTCCAAATACAAGGACCTGGAGATCGAGATTAACAGGATGTGGGGAATTAAAACTTAGACTGTACCAATAGTGATCGGAGCTCTGGGCCTCTTAAGTAAAGGAATGGACAATTTTACTCACAGTTTCTCTGGTAACATCAGCACACAAGTTGCCCAGAAGATCGCCTGGGTTTCTTACAAAGCAGGAAACATAAAATACACAAATGATAATAATAATAATAATCCAAAATGCAAGTATCTTAGAGTGGAAATCTAAAAAATGTGACACATGGGGACAACAATAATTATAGTTCTAGTTTGGGCCCTCAGATTGATTGGAAAAGGTTCCGATAGAGTCATTGAAGGGATTACTGGTAGCCCAGGCCTTAAAGAAATTTAAAAAAAAATGTACTCGCTAGTACAGCTCACACGTTATAGACTTTTATCTATGTAAAATGTACGTAATCTTAGGTCGTTTTTTTTGTTTGATTTGTTGCTTTTTTTGTAGAAAAAAGTGGAAAATGTCATGAAGCCATTTCTGGCCTTACATCTCTGGTTGGGACCCAGAAGGAAATGTGTATGCAACGGAAATCAAATGAAATAATAATAATATTATTAATTAAATAATAATAATAATAATAATAATAAGCCGGTTTTAACAAGGTTTTCTATTTCACTGAAACAGTTGTTAAAAGTATGAGAAAATTATCATCTTATCTATCTTCTGTTTCTTTCTTTCTTATTGTATATGTTTTCGTTTTCTAACTAAAATCAAACAGCGTGTCTTTTCTATCTTTCCCTTCCCTCGTTCGTCGCAATCAAAACGGAACGGTCCATTATTTATCAGGGGCAATGTCAGGGCCTTAATTCACGTACTAAATAACTTGCTAACTAACAGAGGAACTTGTCGAATTATAATATGATCACTTCTCGTCGCAATAAAAACAAATTACTTAAAGCACCAAATTAATGTACCCAGAGAATTACGTTTAAAAACATAGAAATATTGTTTTTCGCACAAAATTATGTCTTAGGTGAATGTAATGTGTAAATTTTACTCCAGAATCGGAGATTGAAGGAATGAAAAAACACGTGAAAAATACTTCACTATTAAAATGGATTACGTTAACTTAGCGAAAACGTATTTTCAGTGTCAATTATCACCTTTGTTTGTATTTTATTTCCGTCAAATTTTAACCATATGTTAACTAATTAATGACAACTGTCCAATTTTGTGCCTCTGGGTATTAATGGGTTAAATAGGTAGAAACCTATAATTAATAACACATTTTTATAAATTTATAAGAGCGATTTTTATTAACTTATAATTAAAACAGATTTCTTATAAAACTATATATGTAATATATAAAACTATAATTGCTAATTTTTACAAACCTATAATGGCGGTTTTGTTTAAATTTATAATTAATAACAGATTTTATAAACCTATAATGGCGGAATTTTATTAACCTATAATTATTAACAGATTTTTAAAAACCTATCATAGCGGATTTCTTAAAAACTATAAATAATAACAGATTTTTATAAACCTATAATAGCAGGTTTTTATAAACTTATAATTAATAAAAGATATTTATAGACCTACAATAGCGGATATTTATAAGCTTATTACTAATAACAGTTTTTTTATAAACCTATAATAGCTGATTTTATATAAGACTATAATTAATAATAATTTTTTTAATCTTAATTAGCAACATTAAAACATTGACTCATTACTGCACACCATAAAATTTACGTCTTTGGTATGACGAAAAACTACATCCGCGTCCTGGGTAAGACGATAAACTACATCCAACAGCAGGAGGTTTTGAGCAGCATGGAACCACCTCTTAATTGCTGGTGTTCCCATTTCCACCTTGATCCATCAATATTGAATTGTATGTTTGGTTTGTTTTACGGCATATCAACATCTCAATGGGTTATTTAATGCCGACAAAATCTTTATTTCTGGCAATATATTTTTTTCAAACATGTATTGCTAGTAATATTTTCCTTCAAAAAATCTACTTCTGGTAATATTTTTTTTTCAAAAAATATATAGCTAGTAATATATTTTTTTCATAAAATGTATGGCTGGTAATATTTTTTTCAAAAATGTATTGCTGGTAATAATGTATTGCTGGTAATAATTTTTTACAAAGTATTTCTGGTATGCGGACGTATTTTCATAGTGTTTTGACCCCAGTTTGGGGAGTTAACTATTTTCCCATAGCTGGGATCCGAACAGGTGCTACCACTCCGGATCAGGGTGGACCTGGGAACACCAGCAGTTAAGAGGTGGTTCCAGGCTCCTCAAAACCTCCTGATAAGAGGTCTTGCTGTTGGAGGTAGTTTATCGTCTTACCCAGGACACGGATGTAGTT